CCCTACCTTTCACTGAAAATTAAACTTTTTGTACTTGAAGAAATTAACTTTTTCAAAAAACAATTTTACTATTTTACATACTACAAGCGTCCAATGGAATTTTGCCACCATGCAGCATATTAGCATATCTAGTTTAAAGAGCTCTTTCTATGAAGATATATATATATATATGTGTGTGTGTGTGTGTGTGTGTGTGTGTGTGTGTGTGTGTGTGTGTGTGTGTGTGTGTGTGTAAATACATCATTAAATTAATGAGTCATTAACTTTTTTAAATAAAAGTTTTTTAATAACTTATTCCTTCTTCGTATTAAATCATTTTTATTGGCTATTCATCTAGTGAGAGAAGCCCAGCTGGCGACAGTACTTCGATTCGATTCTTCAAAGCATCAATAAATGGAATGGCAGTCAATATATTGTTTAATATTTAGAATTAAAATTTTATTTAAATGAAAATGGATCTAAAAAAAAAATGCAATATTGTTTTTTTTGTACAAAAATTTTATTATGACGTACAATAATTAATCATACCCTTATCCTTACTGTTTACTAATATTTTGAGATAAATATAAACAACTTCGTCACTGAGGTATTCGTTTAAAGTATCTTGTAAGGAATAATCGTATACCTTGCAGCCACCTATATCTGGATATATACCCTTTTACCGGGTTTATAATACGGAGACATTTTATTATTCCGTGACCTATTTATGAAATGCAACCTAAGCATAATTTCATCAAAATTTAAGCATAAGCCTTTCATTTGCTAATATAATGATTATTGCATTTATTAAAGATTACATGTTTTAAAATTCTACGCTTATTTTTTCACCAGGTGGGATAATGTTTCAATTAATTATTTAAATAGGTTTACATAAAAATCTTCATTTTACTGGTGCGCCAATAAATAATACATACCTTCTGCATCTTCAACATCGCCAATGAATAATACAAACCTTCTGCGTCTTCTTTATTAATAGAATGAAAACTTTATCGAAGTAACAGGTACTTCAGTAACTTCTACAGAGTAATATTATTTTAAAAAAACATTTCCCATCTCAGCGTTTTTTATAGACGTTTAAAGACCTGTATTATGCGTATTAAAATTTAGACGCCTTTGAATAGCTATGGGTTTCTGAGACAAGTGTCTGACAAAAATGTCTTTTAAACTGAAATAAGTGAACATAAACTCTCAACCTCAACTAATATATTTAAATATATATAATGTCACTTCACTTTGTTTTAGCTCATTCTTTTTCTACCGCTCATCTTTATTTAAACCTTTAAATTTACTAAACTGATTAAAATGAGCTGCTTGATTCACAAAAAGCTTATGGCAAATATTATAAATAACGACTATTTCTGTGCAGATTTTTTTGTTATGTTTATTATGGCTACGCGTTGATACCGAACTCGTTGAATAAAAATTAAAGAAATCTTTATTATCAAAATTGATATAGTCAACTTTATTACCTAATTCAATCATTTAAATTAAGCTACCACGCTCTCGTCTTTTTTTCAAACTTTTTGAATTCAACGCTATAAATCTGTCATTATAAGGATGATTTTTATTTGTAAGTGAAATCTTCCTCGAACAATCACGCACTTTAGCATTTGTGTCATTAATAAAATAGGAAGGCCTAACAAAAGCAGAATTTTCTTAGTGTGGAAGAATAAATAGAGTATAATTGCTCAATAGTATTTTTTTTCAAAATTTTTATTTTTACAAACATGTGATATATATACAAACATATATATATATATATATATATATATATATATATATATATATATATATATATATATATATATATATATACATATATATATATATATATATATATATATATATATATATATATATATATATATATATATATATATATATATATATATATATATATACATATATATATATATATATATATATATATATATGTGTATATATATATATATATATATATATATATATACATATGTTATATATATATATATATATATATACACACATATATATATATATATATATATATATATATATATATATATATATGTATATATATATATATATATACATATATATATATATATATATATATATATATATATATTATATATATATATATATATATATATATATATATATGTATATATGTATATATATATATATATATATATATATATATATATATATATATATATATATATGTATATATATATATATATATATATATATATATATATACATATGTTATATATATATATATATATATATACACACATATATATATATATATATATATATATATATATATATATATATATATATATATATATATATATATATGTATATATATATATATATATACATATATATATATATATATATATATTTTTTTTTTTCTCCGTTACGTCCATCTATGGGGGCCTTTTTGTACGGTTGCTACGGTTTGTCTTTTTTTAGAATAAAAAAAGACAAACCGTAGTTATTTATTTTCCTTCTAAACATTTTTTACATTAAAACTAGTAAAATTTTTATGTTGTAAGATATAAAAACATTTAGAATAAAAACTTATTGTAATTAATTTCATTACGTTCATTTTAAATCTTATGAAAATTTAATTCTATCAAAATTTTATAAATGACTTCGTTGAACAATGTCGCATGTTTTAATTGTTAGCTTAATCGTATCTAAAGAAAATAAAATATTAAATTAAAACTTTAAAAAACTAAATAAAACTATTAAATTAAAGATTCTTCATTTTATTAAAAGTTCTTTAACTAAATATATAAATTTATTATAAAGATCTCCTCATCAGACTAGGACCCAAGAAACAAAAAATAGCTAACACTACTTGAGATAAATATCTTACTTAAATTACACATCGACCCTATGCAGGCTTTTAAAAAATTACATCCCCTTAAGTAACTCATAAATAATTCAAATAAGTTTTATTTGGTAACTAGAATATAACATCCATCACTTGTAATTTCTGTATAAATCACATAAAGAAACAGAAATTCTTTCCTAAAATATCACATCCCCCTTATGAAGACTTCTAAAATATTAAATCCTTTTAAGTAATTCATACAATATATCAAATGATTAGTAATTGGCATTCATCACTTGTAAATACAATATATCAAATGATAGTAATTGGCATTCATCACTTGTAAATTCTGTGTGTATCACAAAAAGAAACTAAATAGTTAAAATATCACATCCCCTCTATGTATATATCTAAAATATTGCATCCCCCTAAGTATTTCTTTACAATAATTCAAACAATTAGAATTTGGAACTTAAAATATCACATCCCCCTATGTATACTTCTAAAATATAACATCCCCCTAAGTATTTCTTTACAATATTTCGAACAGTTATAGAACTTGGTAATTAAAATATCACATCCCCCCTGTGGAGTCTCTGCACATGTCACAAAAAGAAACTGAATATCTTACTTAAAGTATCACATCCCCTCTATGTTTACCTTTAAAATATTACATCCCCCTAAGTAATTCATACAATATTTCAACCGATTAGTGTTTGGTATCTAGAATATCACATCCCCTCGGTTTATTCACTGTATATATCACAAAAAGAAACTGAAATTCTTACTTAAAATATTACATCCCCCCTGTGCATACTTCTAAAACATTAAATCCCCCAAAGTAATTCATATAATACTTCAATCGATTAGTATTTGGTATCTAGAATATCACACCCCCTCGGTTTATTCACTGTATATATCACAAAAAGAAACTGGAATTCTTACTTAAAATATCACATCCCCCTATGCAGGCAAAATATTGCAAACGATTGGTATTTTTATTGCCTAAAGTTTTATATCCCTTATGTGTAACATTTTTTTTAGTATTGCCACGCAATACATTACGATCAAAATTTTATAAATATGAATTTAAAATATATTACCGTTTTGTGCTAACTTCATTTATAGTATGTTAGTAGAAAAAAGTTTTTGTGAATCTCGTTGCGTTTTTGTTATATTGTTTATGACTAATGTTTCGGACGTACTTGATACACTTCTAAGTGCAATGATTCGAAAGCGCATTCTCGTTTTAATTTTTTCTATGGGGGATGTGATATTTTAGGCGGATGTAATATTTTATTACAGGTCCATTATTGTGGGATAACTGTATATAATATTACACATTATTAATTGATGGAAGATAACTGTTTATACTCAAAACATTTAGATGGGGTAGGTGATGATGATGATGATGATAATGATGATGATGATGATAATAATGATGATGATGATAATGATGATGACGATGATGATGATGATGATGATGATGATGATGATGATGATGATGATGATGATGATGATGATGATGTGATGATAATGATGATGATGATGATGATGATGATGATGATGATGATGATGATGATGATGATGATGATGATGATATATGGATATATTTACAAAATATAACATTAATTTTGAATTAAAAAAATAAAATTTAGGATGTATAAGCAGCCCCAGTCACAAACCCGACCCTGATTATATTTTATCAGACCTGGCCTCGGTTAAATATCAACTCTGGTCGCTTACTAATCATTTTGCACCTATGGGCCAATTTACTTTGATAACAGGGTAGGTTGCTCTAGGCAACATGATTTAATAAAAACTATTATAAATGTATTGAAAATTGAAATAGTCTAGCGTCTTTCAATTTTTTTTTCATGAAAAATAAAACAAAACATGATTTGTAAAAGTTAACACATCAAAGAAAAAAGGTGTGCTAGTCTACCTTAATGTTGTTGCAATGGATATTTACTGAATAATAAGCATAATTATTAAATTAGTGTTGTTAAAATATATGCAATTCAAAAAATTTAAAGGTTAAACATGTATGCACCTTGTGGATAATGAAAAAATCTGTTATTTTTTAATTTAAAAAAGAAATAAAATTTTAGGAATTATATGAAACGATTAGAAATTTAGCAAAAAAAACTTTAAATAGTGTTGTTTTTAATAGCTAACCCTTTTGAAGCAGATCTTGGATCACCTGATGATGAAAGTTTTGAGGATAATGAATATGCCACAAAACAAAAGGTTTTCTGAATTTTTTATAAGTTTTTTTAAATTTTTTTAAATTAATATTACTGTTCATGTTCATGTTTTTTTATATCATTCTATTTTTTAATGAAAAAAAAAGATCGGTCTTGAAGTAATAGTGATAAATATGGCATATTTGTTTCCAACTGGTGGCTTACTTGTGGAACAAGTTACTTTTATGAGCAAGTGTAATCTTAGCCCTCATACAGAGATCTTAAAGTTGCTTATAACTTAGATGACACAGATCTTTATTTGTTCTTTGAGATTAATGTAAATCATGACATCTTGTTATCTTTTAAATTTAATTCAACTCTGCAAATGCAAGATGATTGCATCTAAAAAGTTTCCAAACCTTATCTAAAAAGTAATCTTTATGCGGTCATTCTGAGATTTGTTATGGTTCCTCTGATAACTGAAAACTATTTGTTGTTTATATAACTTTTTATATTGATAAGTTCCCAGGTTTTGATTGTTTTTCAATCGCAATGATTGTAAACACCAATCATTTTAGTTTTTTGAATGTTGTTATAATTTTTTTTATATGATTTTATTTAAAAATTTTAAAAATCCAATTTAGAATTTTAAATATTATAATTTGTTTTTAGATAAAAAATTATAAACTGAAAACCACTCATTCTAATATAATATGTAAGTTACTTGACAAGTAAGTTACTATGGAAAAAATTAAAACTTGTATAAATTTTTCTATCACCTCATATTTTTAATACCTCAAATTTTTTCCGTATCTATTTCTGTTAAATTTTTATTCAAAATTTTACGCTTGTTTCAACTATTATAAATAAATGAAAAAATGCTCGGTAGTTAGAGAAGTTTACAATTTGTTTCAGATTCAAAAGAAAAGTTATTTTACTCTCTAAAATTTGTTATCTACTACCACATAAGTCTACAATACAAACTTTTATTAGTTATTTTTAAATATTTTATATTTTGAAACTTGGGGTGAAATTTTTTTTCTGAATTTTTAAAGGTAAGTTTCCAAGTTCCAATAGCATCCTGAACACTTTTAGGAAGTAAGGCGATTAAATAGTTATCATATATTTTGCATGTGATTACATATAAAAAATCTTGTTTTATATATAATATATATGATTATATGTTGTAAGAGAATCAGTAATGTAATTTTTCTGAAACAACATGTTTGATAATATTCATTTTCAGACAAAAACTTATTAAAACCATGAAAATATTTTTATACTTTATAGGTTACTTGGAAAACATTTGTCTTTTTAAAAGTTTGATATTTTCTTGTTATTTTTTTATTGATAGTGGGGAGACGAGAAGTTTAATTGTTTAAATGAAAGTTTAGAAAGTTCAGAGGTAAAATATTATTTTTTAATATTTTCAAATCAACCTGCAAATATCTTTGAAGAAATGTTAACTAATATTGTAGCTAATAATAATAACTATAAATAATATTAATAATAACAATAATAATAATAATAATAATAATAATAATAATAATAATAAATAATAATAACAATAAATTATAAAATTAATAATAGATAATAATAATAATAATAAATAATAATAACTATAAATAATAATAATAATAATAATAAATAATAATAATAACAATAAATAATAAAATTAATAATAGGTAATAATAATAAATAATAATAATAATAAATAATAATAATAATTAATAATGTAGTGACACTTCTATTAATTTTAATGTGATTGACATTAAAAGGCATTAAAATTTATTAAAATATTATTTTTTATTTGGTTTTATTTTTATTATTAATCTGTCTTTAAAGTTTTGAAAATTCCATTAAATAAAGCATACAGGTTGCCAAAATGTTTTTATGAAATTATTTCTAATATGGCATACAGCTTGCAGAGACCTTTTCTAAAAATTTTATAAAATAAAATAAGGTTGCGAAAGGTTTTTAAAAAATTTTAAAAAATTTTTAAAACAACATCAAGTCTGATCAAAGATTTTAATTAAGTTATGGGTTGAGTTGCACTTTACCTGAGATATTTGTTTAAGCACTTAGAGTATTTCAAACAATATTTACTTTAGGTTTGTCTTGTAGTTTAAAATGTTCTTTAGAGGTCTTTAGAATCTGTTATAAAGTACATATTTTATGCAGAACAAGGCAACCTTTAATTTTAAGCTTGTAAAGCATAAAAACTAATAAGTATTTTTTAATTCGTGTATTTCCTCCTTGTTGCTACAGTTAAATAGGCTACTCTTTTTTTAATATGAAATAATGGTATCTCTTTTAATCTTTAACTTTGAAATGCAGACAATTTAAGCAAGTTTAACTGAGACTTTTCATTAATAGACTTTTCATTATTTATAAAAATTGCTCTTTTTCTAATTAAAATTATTATCCACAAAAATCTATTAAAAAATAGCATGTCAGCACACTCCTAAACAGTGGCATGAAAATCTATTATTTATACTTTTTTTTAGGTTCTTTTAACACATGTTCAACCATTGCATACTTTATCAGATATTAACACAGAAATGACTTCTGCTCCAAGTTTAGAAAATATTGATTCAGTTGATGCTGCATATTCACCAAATGTTCGTAAGGGTTCAACCCCTTTTTTTAAAGATAGTCAAGCTGCAATTGCAAGACCACGGGCATCAGGAAATAAAAATGTAAACCTAATGGATGCATCTCCATGGCAACTTTTACCACCTCCATCATCAAAAATAAGTTTAAAAAAATCTTTAAATTTAGATAGTAATGATGACCTCTCTAACTTTGAGAAAAATGCTTCTCTTGTTAGTATTGATAGATCAGGGGATGCATTAGATAAAATTGAAATGTCAGATTGTGCATTGGATGGAATATCTCCAGTTTCTGACTTTGATAGTAACAATGACCAATTAAAATTAACAACAAAACATTCTACCTCATTGCTAAAGGAAAAATCTCGTTCTATTGACAGTTTACGTTCAGATATTTCTGAAAGCAATGAAAATCAATATAAAAAACCAGTTGTTCGAATGGAAAAAAGACGGTAAATTTATATATATTATTTTGTTTCAAAATAATATATATAAATTATACAATACCAAATAGTATTTATATAAAATTTGAGCAATTCGTAGTTAATTATTACAAACTTATTTAAAAATAAAGAGTGTTTGTTGATGATGTATAACTTATTCAGACTATATTATTATTATTTAATAAAATTTTATTTTATATAAAATATTTTTGAAAATATAAATGCTTATAAAAAAACACTTTTATCTATACTTCTGTTTTTATACTTTTTTATTTTTTTATTTTTAGTTCTCTTACATTTGATAAAGTGTCTTGCTCATCAGAAACCTCTCTTCATGAAAAAATGAAAGATTTTGAACTTCCTCCTGTTCCTCCACCAAGAAATAGAGGACATGTTCGTGCAAGTTCCTTAGATATAAATCATCTTTTAAACTCAAAAACCATTTCTGTACCAGGTAAACTTTTAGTCCTATAATAATTTTTCTTACTCAGGTTTGATTAACATTAAAACAACTAACAGGCTAAATCATTCTATTTAAGAAATTTAAGATATACAGTGTACCTTGACAAACAAAAAATATATATCTTTTATATGATTTTACACACCACCAAAATATTAGCAATAATTGGTTAACTGAAAAGATTTGACTTGAGACCATTATATTAGCAATAGTTAGTTAACTGAAAACCTTGATTTTTTTTTTGTTAATAAGAGAAAAAAAAAAGTTGCTAAATGGTCCCAAATTGCAGCACTGCATAAGTTAGAATTGAATCAATTGATTAAAATGTCAAAACTTAAAGATATGCTTTGTTCCCCCGTTAAGAAACAGTATGACTTAAAATGTCGTCTAGAGTTAAAGATGTTGATGATGCTTTTTTTTTTCTTTCAAGTTTAGGGAAACTGTTAATGTTCTAAGCCCTTGGCTAAACTTTCGCATCTTTCTTAAAAAGTTTGTTTTAAAAGTTTCAAACACTTCTAAAACTATTTAACATATTTATAATATGGCTTGTGGAGTTGTCAAGGTTCCTCGTGTCTACAAATCATAAGTGCATTTTGTTTAGAACATTTACAAGTGATCCTTTAGAGAAACAGGTTAGAAAAATCAACAATGATCAAAATCAACAATCAAAAACATATTTTATTACTGCACAACAAATACTAGAGAAAGTTGGTATTGTATAGATCAAGTTACTTTTACAATGAGAAAATGGTGGTAGTTGTCATTTTGAAACATCTTGTGAAAGATTTGGTTTTTGTTTGATAACACTATCTTACAAATTTTTTATTTTTTTTTATTTTTGTCTTTTTTTTTAAGGGTTGAAAGAGTGTTTTCTTAATCCAATTTGCTAAAAACAAATAGAAAAGAAGCTTTTGTGAATCTCATTGAAAGTATCATTGTCTAGGGGTCAATGTTATGAATATTTCTAAATTGCTAGAATTTTCAGAAGGTCTGAGAATTTCCCAGAATATTCAAGAACTTTCAATAAACTTCCGGAACATTTTTGTATTTTTTGAAACTTTTCAAATGTAGTCATACAAGTATAAAAGCATAGGTATACTCAACATTTCAGTTCATGTTATTGGTAAGTAAAAGAATTGTATTTAAAGAACAATTATTTAATTCGAATGGAATTAAGAAGTTGTTTCCATCCTGCAGATGCATTTTGCTGTGTAAGAGCAAATTTTGAAGAAAACATTGAAAAAATATTTTATGGAAGCAAATTATAAAATGAGCGAGGCCTACTAGATATACTTTGAAGTGACTGTTGGTGATCATGGCAAGTCTTAGGCTTTACATTTTACATATAAGTATTACCATAGAACTCTTGAAGGTAAGTCATTTATTTTGTAGAATTTCAATGATTTAAGTATATGTAGTTCATTTTAAGAAGTTGCAATTGATAAAATTTACTTATATCAGTGTACTGTAAGAAAGTATGTTATATATTATCATTACAACCTTTATTAAGTGATGTGTAAAATTTCCTGCCTTCAAATTTAAATAGCTAGTTATATGTGTTATGTTACAGATTGGTGCAGGGTGAAAATAATGTCACAAAGTCATGAGTGTGAATACCATAGTTTACTTCTGTTTTGTTGATCCCACATATTGTTGCTCAGGCACAAATGCGTTTCAAAATGTTCCAGACATTCCTTCATCTATTCAATCAAGTCGCCTGTTCTTACCCCAAGTCCTTCAACAAAGCAATCCTTCAACCTAGCTGCTTTTTCCCACTCCTTCTTGGAAGGATCGGTCATCTTTAGGAAAAATGCTACTTATGCTGCCACTGCACATCAATCAGTCCTCATTAGGTAATATGTCACTGCTCTAGGCAACGTGTTGGCTCCTTTTAATTTCCTCCAAAATCATTTTCCAAAGCTGTCTGAGGCTAAGACTAGAGCTGGTATCTTTATTGGATCAAAGATCAGATTGGAACAGTTTAGTTGTAGTTGCTTATGACTTTCTTAGTAATATAATTATATATAGTAATTGTTATGGTGTAAATAATGTGTAGATGGTTCAAATTCTTGTAAAGAATTATATTAAATTTGGAGGCACTGAGTTCATATTTTCGGCGTTGATCTCTTTAAATTCAAGGAGAACATGGTTACTTACTTACAGCTTACTACTCCATGTTTTCATTCTAATATCCTTAATAACAATGTTATTAAGAAAAACATGATGGAGGACTAAATTTTGGAGCTATTTCATAAAAGTTATTTACAGTACATTTACAAATCTAGAAAATCTACTTGTTGGGGGCTACTTTGTTAAAGTGATTTACAGTACACTTACAAATAATCTACTTCTAAAAATTTGAGTAATTTACCTTTTTCTACTCAATATGCAGTTGTTGTTTTTTACCAGACTGAAAGACTAAAAATATAAAATATTTTTCAGTTCTGTCTTAATAAAAAAAAAATTTCTTTGAGCAAAGGTCAGAAAATTAAAGTTAATGCCTAATGTGGTTTTTTTTCCACAGTCTTTAGGCAATTTAAATATAATAGATTGAATTCAAGAACAAAAATTGTTTTATGTAGCATAGTTTACCATAATTAAAAAGTATATTATTTATACCATAGATGAGTTTTTTCCGGAAATTCCGGAAATTCACTCAAAACTACTTTAATTTTCCAGAAATTTCCGGATGTTTTTTGTTATTAATTTGAAAAAAAAGTTATATATTTTTACATAAAATTTCAAAAACGACAACTTTTGAATTTAAACAAATTTTTCTATTGTTAAAATTTTCACAAGATTGATTTTCGTAACAATTTTTTTTCTTTTTTTTTTTTTTTGCTTTTTAATTTATTCAAATTAACTTTTTCGAATATTAGAAATTCGTTTTGTAAAAAGTTAAAAAATCTAAATTCTGTTTTAAAAGTTTACGAAAGTTTTTGTTTTCACTTAATACGATCAATTTTTAATAAAATAATTTTCTAGGATTTTTAAGTCAAATACTTATCTTTGATTTATAGATGTCAAAATTGACATAGCTGAGTATATTATCCAAAATGATGAAGGTTCAGATCACTAGTATTTTTATTATGAAAATTTCAGAGATTTTTCTTAGGAAATCAATTGTGGAGTATTACCTGTGCCTGGTGACTTAGTATGTCACCAGGCACAGGTACAATTCTTCTTTGTGCAATTTAATGATATCAGTAACATACCCATTAAATATAAACAGAAACCATGATGTTATACTTTCAAACATTATTTTTAAAATTATTTTTATTTCAATCTTCAAACTTATTTCAAGTCTGAAAAAATCAAAAACAAAAACTCAGTGTTAAATAACACCTCAACAACAACTTTTTTCTGTTTAAAAAAATTGAAATAATACCGATACTGCGTATGGTTAATTAAAAAAAAAATTGTAACATTTATTTGAAAATTGTTCATACATTTTATTATTTAGTTTTTTTACTTGAAAACTAACTTTTAAGTTTAATTGAGGCTCCTGTGTTTTTTTATTATAAACTGGAGCCTTGTTTAAAAAAACTTGGCTTCAGTTTGTGATTTCATTTATACAGTGAATAAGTACATGCTAGTTATAGCTTTACGTCAGCACTTCACCTTTGATAATAATGGAACTGTTGTAGGCAAAAACTAGTGACCAATTACAGTTTTTCTTTATAATTATTTGTTTTATATTGTTTTTTGAATACCTGATGTGAAAAATATTAAAAAAAAAAAAAAAATTTAAAGCAGTTAAAACCAGTTGAAAACTAAAACAAAAGGACAACTTTAACAAATAATCTTGATTTTTTTTACAAATGAACCATCTCAGGGTTTGTAGAAAAGCATAAAATTAGTAAAGTATGGAAAAATTAGGAAAAGTAATTTAAATGTGTTATTGCACAACTCGTATTTTGAGTGGCTTCTCTAGCAGAATCGCCCATTTGGTATTCATATAACAAACAATGCCTTTATAATATGTTCTTTGGTTTTTTGCATTTTTTTTAATGTTAAATAGTACTAAATAAAAACTTGAAACATATATGCACATATCTATATATACATGTGCACATTATTTAAATAAAAACTTGAAACATATATACACATGCATATCTATATATACATGTGCACAGTATTTAAATAAAAACTTGAAACATATAAACACATGCATATCTATATATATGTGCATAATATTTAAATATAGATGTATTTTGTTAAGTAGAAAAAATTTTTTTAAAGTGTCTATATTTGCACTCAATACTTACCTAAAAAGTTAATAATGATTTTTGGAAACACCAAAGTAAAATATTTTTAGTGTCAGTTAAGTTAGTTAATTAATAGATTATTACAATAAAGTTGTTGTTTATATCAGTTTAAAATACTCAGTTGGTATATTATAACAAATATGTATATATAGATTGATAAAGAAATTATAACTTGGTATATTAAGAATATACCAATGATGTCACTTAGAGCTTTACTTTATTTTCAGATATGTTAAAAGAACTTTCAGAAGAGGATAATCCTAATGCAGTAATATTTTATTTGTTATTATATTTTAAGTTAATTGATTGTTACTTAGTTACAAAATATATTTTATTAAAGTATTAAGTCATTATTCAAATTGATATAACTTTGACACATTTTAATGTCAAGAAAATATCTGAAATCTCGTTTATACTTTCACTTTTATATTATCTCATTTATAAATCACTTTTTTATTTTATCAAATTAGTTAAACTTAAAATATGTTTTTGCAATTATACGATGTTTTATATATTTTTTTTTATTTTATACCATGTTTAAGCTAAATATAGGGGTATTTATATATTGCTTATTGTTAACTAAATAGTACTAAATGTGTTAAAATTTTTTTTTAAAGATTCCTGATTTTATTTTTAAGAGAATAAAACCTGCCAAGCCACCCAGAATTAGCAAGCCATTAAATGCTAATATAGAGCAAGGTTTATTAACATCTCCAACTCATTTAAAACATCAGTCTAAATTGAATCAGAGAACACTCTCTGTAGATTCTGAGGTAATCTCATTTTTTATTTATATTTTTTACTCCAATAAACTCTTAAATTATTTTTATTATTTTTATTAACCAATACAAATGATATTTTATTGTTTTTTATTTTTATAATGTTTCACATCACTATGGCAATAATAATGTAGATTTAATATAAAATTTAGTTCACTTTACATCCTAGATCAATAACGTCGGAAGGTGAGGTTATTTTTTGTTTATGAGAATATAAATATTATTAATGCTATTACTTTATTTCAAATACCAATTTTTTTTTAGTTTTTAAATTTTGTTACTTAGATAAAATAATTGTTTCCTTTTCTTGTTTTCCTAAATTAGTTTTTTAAAAAATTATAAAATTTAATGTAGTTCCACATTTCATTTGATGATTTCATTTTTATTTTTCCACATTTCATTTGATGATTTAATTTAATATATATATATATATATATATATATATATATATATATATATATATATATATATATATATATATATATATAAAATACATATGTATGTATATATATGTATATATATATATATATATATATATATATATATATATATATATATATATATATATATATATATATATATAAATATGTTTGGAGATACAAAACCAACAAACTAGCTGCAATTTCTTAAGCTTTAACACAAAGCTGATAATGAAATGTCACACAGGGTATTCCAAGGTTTAGCTTTTTTGACTGTATTATAATAAAGTTTAACAAAGAATATAAGACATTGAAATCAGTTCCCAATAAGAAGATTACTGGTTTAAATGATGATTTTTTATTCATTGATTTTTTTATTCATTGATTTTAAAATTAATGTGCATTTTTTTGGACTATTAGTAATAGTTTAAAAATGCGTAACTGTTTATAAAGTTTGTATTTGTAAAAGCTCATGAATTTTTTTTAAGTTTTTTAAATAGATTCTATTTTTTATAGATGCTTTTCTACATATTTCTTTTTCTATTTCTATTTCTATTACTACTATTAAAATTTTGTGATTACTGGGATTACAGTACGCAATTTTGCATAAACTAAAATTTTGAAGACCAGATTTACATTTTTAAAGGGATCCCCAACTGCCGAGACAAGTTGTGTTCATATTAAAGAAATCTATTAAAGGAGTCTGTATAATGTTAGCCGCAATTTGCAGGCTTGATAATTTATTCCATGCGTTTTTAATTCATAACAGTTTCAGTATATGACATCAGCATATAAATTTTTTATTTCAATATGTCATTGTTTTTTTTGCCAAAATTACCTAATCATGTTAATTGTATAATTTAATGATGCAATTAAAAATTAAATTTATAAAATTTATAAAAATAAAAATTTAATATATAACAAATATTTACAGTAAACGTAGTAGTACTGTAAATATTTACAGTAAACATACTAAATATAAGCTAGATACTAAAAGAATAATTTTACAAAAGCGTATAAATTAAATTAAAATATAAACTGAAAAAAAATCGAGTGACTTTTATAAAACACATAATCTGAACTAAGTAGAAAATATATATTAAACGACTTATTTTACTAATAACCGTTCAAATCAAACTAAATTAAAGTTAAAACAAGTATTTGTACTAAAATATACAAGAAAGTGTATAAATATAAATATAAAAACAAAGAATCACATTAAATTGTTTGCTATCAGCAGACCAAAAATCTTTTTGTAGCAACAGCACATTTTTTTGAATAACATTTGAATAGCATAACATTGACAATTAATTAAAATTCGATAGTAATAAAGTTTTTAACACGCATCATTAAACAATAAGAAATGCAAAGTGCTTAAAACTATTGTTTTTGTAAGTAGTAACTAAAACATTAAGTCCAAAACAAACCTCATTTAATGAATAAAAATAATATATTTTTTTTCAAAATACTTTGGTAATTACTTAACTAAATAGTTAACACTTCTACAATTAAGTTATACAGTGTTAATGCTGTTTAATTTTATAACTAAATTTAAAGTTTATGAAGGATTATTCAAGATTTTTTAACTTTGTGATTTTTTAACTTTTTTATAATTACACAATATAGCTCTTATTTTTTCTTGATTATGTAGAGAATTAATTAAACCTTCAGAACAAACAAATTCTATGTGTCTAGAATGGAGATTTATGTACAAAACAAGATAAATTGTAGAGCATACTCGAAAGCAGCTACCAGTGGCTTGCGGTAGTGAAAGAGTTAAACCATAACTAAATGTAGATTAAACATAAATAGAACAACTCTATTGAACCATATATATAGATATATATATTTGTATAATTTTTTACTGTCGCAAATATTTTTTGTGATTTAGTAAAAAATTATACAAATATTTGATTTTCTGATTGTAGTAGAAAAAATACTTATATCTTTAAAAAAAATGCTTTCTTAAAAAGATATTGCAATGACATCATATACCGAAACTGTTATGGATTAAACACGCATTGAATAAATTATCAAGTCTGCAGATTGCGGCTAACATTGTACAGACTCCAAGAACCAAAAAAAAAATGGAAACGCTGAACTTCGACTAAAACGATAATTTTAATTTTGTTGGTATGCATTCATTATTTAGTTTCAATCAAAACAATTCAGCCTAAATGTTTTTTTTAAACATTTTCTTTAATATGAACACAACTTGTCTTGGCAGTTAAGGATCCCTTTAATGAGCTACTTTTTACTTTTACTTGAGTAAACTTTTAGATTGGTTATGTTTACTTGTACTTGAGTAAAGTTTCACTCAAGTAAACAGTACTTTTACTTGAATACAAAGTTTTGTTACTTTTCCCACTTCTGTATATATACTCTTGTAAAATTTATGTTTTTTAGAAAAAAATTTATTTATAAGACCCCAAAAAATTAAAAAAAATTTTTATTTTTTATTAATTGATAGATTGCCTGCCTAAACTAAAACCCAAAGTCAATGTAGGAGTACTCCTTGCATGTTCTACCTATTTGTCAGTTGATGTAGCAGCACTCCTTGCATGTTAACCATGTTTATTTTGTTTTTTTAAATAAAAACATTCTGAATGCTTTTAAAAGCATTCCAGCCTAATAATTTGCATTTTTGTGGTTTTTAAAATACAATAAAGTTCAATTAGTTGCCTCAAGTAATGGTTTTTACATATAGTGTACTTGATTTTGTTTTCTTTAAACAAAAAGAGTTGTTTAGAACTGTTTTTTTTTACCACAAAGGGTAAACTTAGATGTCAAACCATAGGAATATATATGTATATAACATTAAATTTGGAGAGTTTAAATCAGCTAATTAGAAAGCCATCTGAGATTAACTGCCTGCTGCTTAGTGAGCAAATTTGAAGGTGTTCATGGTACTATAAAACACCACTTGCATGAAATCAGAAATACCTCCAAGTTTGGTGTTTGGATACTACACAAACTGAATGCTAGTTAGCTAGATCAGTGAGCAGATTCCTCTTGTCTTTGCATGGCGCAGCTAACTGGATAAACTATTCGATCACCAGAGATATGATGTGGGAACTCTACATAAGCCACCCCAAATGCAAGCGCCATTGGCTAAGGCCAGAACAACCGCTATTGTATACCGCAAACTGCTTCAGATGAGCACCAAAATTATGTCATCAACTCATTTTGCTCAGTATAACAAACTTCAACTCCTCAAAAAATGCCCCAAATACAACATAGTTTACTTTTTTCAATATTTTAAAAATTATTAGAGCGTGACTGGAAAGTGTGGCTTTATTTGTCTTTGTGTCAACAGATTATTATTTGTCCCAATCATTTAGCAACAGCTTGTGAAATGAAAACAACAGCAACCAATCAAAAAACCAATCATCACAATTATTTCTTTGATTCAAAGTCTAAAGAGCTCTATGCAAACAACACTTGTTCTTTGCTTTAACATTGGCAAGAGATCATTGACAATAACCATGGAAATTCAAAAAAAAAAAATTTTTTTTAAATACTAGTGTATTTTTGAAAAAAAAAAATTTTTTTTGAAGAATTTTGTTGAAAAAACCCAGCCCAGTATATATTACAGCTCTCAGAATTAGAAAAAATAAAGTTGGCAAAAAATTGCTGACCTAAAACTATTTTAGGTTGGCATCAGGTCAGCAAAATATTTTGAAACAGGGTTTGCTAAATTTTAGTATAAAATTCACAGAAAATAAACACTGAATTCGCTGACTTTTCTTTTAAATGTTTGCCTAAAAATTTGAAAAAAGAAGATGTAGATTAAAGTAAATTCAAGTAAATTATTGCTATTTAGAATTTATATAGAATGCTCATTTTGCCTTTTTTGTTTTAATTATTTTAATTGGAATTTAAAAATAAAAATTAATTTTTCATATTTGTTTTGCCATTTTTATTTTAATTATTTTAATAAGAATTTAAATATGTTTATTTTGTTGTTTATAATTAATTTGAAATAGCGAATAAAATTAAGTTTTAAAATTCTAGGGTCAGCAAAAAATTGCAGACATCAGATACTGTCATTTCAGCAGTTAGATCGGCATTGCCAAATGCCGATCCTAATTCAAATGCATATATATATATAATATAGCGTGTTATGATAAGCATATGCTTACTAGTTTTGCTTACCTTAATAGCATACAGCTTTTTCAGCAAAAGAAGAAAAAAACAATGAATAATGAAAGAAAAGATTATGCTTCATGCCAAACCACAGTTGATGTAAGGCCAGCAGAACATATATCAACTTTCTTATAGCCAGCATGCTATAAGAAAGTTGTTATATCTTCTGAAACCCCCAGCAGCAGGCTATTTTAGTGTTATGTATATATATATATATATATATATATATATATATATATATATATATATATATATATATATATATATATATATATATATATATATATATATATATATATATATATATTTATATATAAATAATTAGAAAATCACTTAACAAAAAGTTTTCATTTAACACTTCACCAATAAAGACAATAAAGAAATGAATGATCAAATGATGAGTCTTTATTGAGTCTTTTCTGATGAAACACAGTATTAAATGAAAAATTTTTGTTAAGTGATTTTCTACTAATTTATTATTGTTCTGTTTTTTTAAGAACATTGCACTCTATTTTTTAGAATACCTTTTAAAATATACACACAGATAGCCTGACTCGCAAGGGAGTGCTGCTACAACGACTGACAAATAGCCTGACTCGCAAAGGAGTGCTGCTACATCGACTGAGGGTTTGGTTTGGGCAGGCGGTCTATCATTTAAAAAAAAAAAAAAATTTAAGTTTTTAAACTTTTTCTGGTCTGGTTTATTAACGCGCTCTTTAAAACTACAGTTTATGGGAAACTCTTTTTAACTACCATGCAAGAGTATATATGTATGTATATATATATATATATATATATATATATATATATATATATATATATATATATATATATATATATATATATATATATATATATATATATATATATATATATATATATATATATATATATATACTCTTGCATGTCTCTTGCGTGGCATCAAAAAATGTTTCCCATAAACTGTAGTTTTAAAGAGCGCGTTAATAAACCAGACCAGAAAAAGTTTTAAAAATAATTTTTTTTTTTTAATTAATAGACTGCCTGGCCAAACCAAACCCTCAGTCGATGTAGCAGCACTCTCTTGCGAGTCAGGCTATTTGTCAGTCGTTGTAGCAGCACTCCCTTGTGAGTCAGGCTATTTGTCAGTCGATGTAGCAGCATTCCCTTGCGAGTCAGGCTATTTGTCAGTCGATGTAGCAGCACTCCGTTGCGAGTCAGGCTATTTGTCAGTCGATGTAGCAGCACTCTGTTGCGAGTCAGGCTATTTGTCAGTCGATGTAGCAGCACTCTGTTGCGAGTCAGGCTATAAGATAGTCGATGTAGCAACATTTACGCATGTTTAAAAAATGTTTTTTATTAAATCAATAACAAAAACACCACTAATTAAAAAAAACTTTCTAGTCGTTATAATTGCGGTTTTTTAAAAATTTTTTAAAAAACAATTAAATTTAATGTACTTCCGCATAAATTAATTGCTTTGACATTTCGATGACAATCAAAAACAGCTTAAGAGACGAGGTAATTAAAATTGTAGTCGTAAGAGACTTTTTTTACATTAAAATGCTCTTAAAGCTACACTATATGGGTATATATATATATATATATATATATATATATATATATATATATGAAGGACACTTTAGTAAAGGAAGTTACTTGTAGTTGTGGTAAAACCCTCTCTCTCTCTCTTTATATATATATATATATATATATATATATATATATATATATATATATATATATATATATATATATATATATATATATATATATATATATATATATATATATATATATTGACTGTAGTGACCTGTATAGCTGAAAATAACAAACTCCATGCTAACTGATTTACAAAATTTTATTTGTATTTAAAAGTTATTACATTAGATTTTTGACATTTTTATGGTTTTTTAGAAATATTGAAACAGGAAGTTGCGGAAAAACAGGTACAGTATTTAGAAAACATAAATAAGCTGTTTTACTTTATGTTAAAATATTTGTTTTAGTTTTCTTTTATTTATTTTTTAATTTTCTTTTTTTTTTTTTTTAATTATAAGATAAATTAAATTATATTATTAGGTATATTACTTTTTTGTGTTTTAAATTACAGGTATCTTGTAAAGAAGAAAAAGTTAACAAACCAAAACCGAAAGTTCAGTTTGCTGATAATGTCTTAGATGATCCATCTCATAGGTAATTTTATATGTTAAGGTTTTTTAAATGTCAATGTTTTTTACATATTTAGGTCCAAAATGATTTTTAAAACTATATAGTCAAGCATTTTTGTATTGATTTTTGGCAATTGTGTTTAACTTGTAGTTAGATTAAATTAAATTCTAAAATTATGAAACCTCAGATGACTGAGAATGAATATTAGAGTATATGTATTTAAGATTAGTTAAATTATGAATTCCTATATTATAGTTAAATTCCTATATTATAGTTATATATTCCTATATTATAGTTATATATAAAAGATATATCCTTACAAAATGAAACAGTTTTTATTTTATGTCTAATACACTTACTGCTGGTTACATTCCTGACCAGCAAAAAAATAGAATTAATTGTAACAGTTAGGTTATGGCTATGATTTGCATAACTTGCTAACCTTGATAAGATTAATGATTATAGAGGGTAGGTCATTAACTATGAATTAGATAAAACTTTAAGAGGGTAAACAAAAACGAGGTAACATTTATAATAGTTCATACAGCTATTAAATGAACAAAAAAATTAAAGATTGAAATGTTAAATCCAATGAAAAGTTATAAAGAAAGAGTTTAAATTTCATATGATCATAATTTTTGAACGCTGAGAGATAATACTATGAAACTTAAAACTTATCAATGAATATAAGTCTAGTTGAAAATAGTACAAAAATTATTCTATCAACTTGTTGTCCCTCACGTTTGGAGTGGGGAGAAGGATAGAATTAAAGGGCTTTTTTGTTCTCAGACTCAAACCATTACAATTTTTTGCAAAGCCTTATTTGAAATATTTGACATAAGTACAAACATACCAATGTTTGGAGCTTGCTCCATGTCGGAAGTTAGCTATTTCAAACACTTAAAAATCCCAGATCCATGACTGAGTAAGTAGGAAATTATTAATTAAAAAAAAATGAAAATATATCAAATAGAATAGATTTGAAAAAATTACTTTATTATGAAAACATTTTGGCAACCGGATCGATTTTGAAATCAATTTCTTTAATAAAAAACCAACTATATATCTCGTTCAAAAAGCAAAATTATTAATAACACTATAAATATTATCTTGGCTTTCAATATTTAGATTAAAAGCAGTTAGGTAGATTAATGAAAATACCTATAATTTATGTAAGTGTCTGCCATTTTTAATGGTAGACACTTACATAAAGGTAAGCCAAGCTGTCTATTAATTATCAGCAATTATGCAGAGCAATAGCAAATAGCATAACATTTGTATAATCACATTACATTACACTAAATATTAACATATATGTGCTTTCTATATAATTATGTCAGGCCAGTCAATAGAACTCAGATATACAACAGTAACACCTCTGTCCTGCTATCCACCTGCTATCACACCTCTGCTAAGTACTACGCTTGGCTGGCAAGGGTGGAAATCTTGCTCTACACCATTTTTTTTTTTAATAGAACTTTAGTTATAAAAATAGCCCGCTAGTAATAGTCTAGCTCTACACACTCAGAAAAAGTCACAACCCTTGCTTGGTTAAATTAACAACCTAGCTCTACGCGCACTGCAAATCACAACACTTGCTTCTACAATTCGTGTAGAACTAGGTTGTTTCACAACCTAGTTCTACACGATTGCCTATTGATTATTGCACTAATAACTATTTAAAATCAGTTATAACAGCAGGCAGTCAGAAAAAATGGTTGTCTTTTTAAAAAAAAAATTTTAAATATGTGATGTTTAATAGTAAAACAATAATCATTTATAAATTAAGTATATTTGTGAAAAAACATTTTTGTATAATATTTATTAAATCATTCAAAGGTTATGTTATTATTTTTTTTTCTAACTTTAAGAATTTTATATGAATTTTTTAGATTTTTGGAAAAATATTAGTTCATTCTTATAAAAAATCCAAATTCTTCTTATAAATATAGTTAGATGGTTTATGCAATTTGACAAAAAAATGTTTAAATAAATTTCTTTCAATTTTTGACATGCAACATATAGTTGCCCATTAGAGAAACACAGTTTTCTTAGATATACAACAACTGTAACAAATGTTTGACCTTGACTTTTATTAATTGTCTTTGAATAGGCCAATCTGACAGAAAACTTTTGATGTTTCAGAACAAATCGTAAATTATAATCAATGGATCCAACTGAATTTGAGGAACTAAGACCCATTTACCACCACAAAACACCTGTCAAAGCCTCTGCATCAATATAATTATTTTAAAGAGAACAAACTTTCATTTGAGTGCCATTGCATAACCCAGCTTATCATCATTTGCAAAATTTAAGTAAAATATAAATATGTGGCAAACCACATTTTTGAAATTCAATAACCTGAACATGAGTTACTATTTTCCCTAATACATCATACTTGAATTGATTTAGGAGATAATTTAATTTGAGTTTAAATCAAGTAACTAAGCCAGATCTATCATTTGCAGTCTGTCCTGGTTATAAATTTTCAGTTTTTTTTATCTTGTGCTATTTGGGGTTGCAGGTTAAGTTAATAAAAAGATCTGGTATACCAGTTCGCTTCTCAGTTTGTTTTGGTTATTTCTGATGAAAGCAAGACACTGCCATTAAATTTGACACATGCATCAACAGCATTTTGCTGAAATAGCTTCTTGCCATAAAAAATTAGCAGAAGTTTGTGTAAAACTAAGGTAATGTATCATGATTTCTAACCAGTGTTGTATGTTCAGGGTTGTGCACCAAATAATTGTGCCAACTAGCATCACCTCTTGGAAAAAAAAGTGGACCAACCATAGGATCTAGGTTGGCTTACATACTTGATATAATTTTTAGAGGATGACTTCTTGGGTAAATAACAGTTTTCCTAGAAACAGGTGGAGCATCATCTTCACCAAAGAATATAACTGCAACATCGTTATGTGATTATAATGACATTTATTTTGCCCTTCAAGTAAAGACATTTTTACTACTGAGACTGAGCGACATTCTATAGCAGCTTGATAAATTTCTTCATCTTCTACTTCAGCCAGGTTTTTAAATGCAAGAGCATATATGTTTTCTTCACTAACTATAGTTTGAAAATAAAACATTAAATCATGTAAGTAAAGATCATTGCCACGTTGTTGCATTCTAAAATTTACTGCTGTAAGTGGGTCATTGCAGGCTTGGTCGGGAAGCGGGCGCGATCGCACTCGATAATTGATCACAGAAATAATATTTAGTTGCGAAAAACCGGCCAAATTTTTTGAGAACAAAAAAAAAAAAAAAAAAAAGTGCAATAAGATTTACTGGACCAATGAGAGACAGTTAAAAAAAAAAAATAGCTTTTAACGCGAAAAAACTTTAAGCAAATTAAATTCATTTTTAAAACCTCGCTCTTTTATAATTTTTTTTATAAAATTAAGCAACATTTTTTATATAAAGTAACAACTATAAAGAAACAAATGTTCTTCGATTTATCAAAGAGTATATATAATTTTTATTTTTATACTTATGTCTTATTTCCAGTTGCGAATTAAGGAGGTGGGGTGGGGGTAGTAGGGCTATAGCCCCGGGACTCACAATGTTAGGGGAAATAGTCAAGAGAACCATTTGGTATTTTTTTTTAGCCATTTTTATGCTGTGACACTTAAAAAAGGCCGCCAAAATAATGCAGCCCCCGGCCCTGAAAAGTCCAACAAGATTCAACCAGTAAAACTAACCCTAGATGATTTATTTATAAATAAAAAAGTTTTTTCAATAAATGTTTTATGCTTCGCGTAGTTTAAAAAGTTTAACACATTTGAAACAATTCTTCTTAGTAAGATGAACAAATGAAATAATTAAATCATTGAGTTACTGTAGAAATTCAATTAGCTAGATAGAAATTAATTAAAAACGTTAAATTACTTTGTGAGTAGAAAGCGGAACGGCTTCACAATAACGCTGATGTTTAGTGAGTGGGCTTTATAATTTTAATTAGTATTTAAAACTGAAAAAAGTAAATTTAAGTATAACGAGTTTATAAGAATGGCTGAAGCAAAAATAATTGAAGTTAGTAAACCAATTTTAAAAAACTTAAAAACTTTTCTTTCTTGGGGGAAAGAATCAGTTATTGGGTACACTGAGGAAAATGGATTAGTGGTTAAAATTATTTGATTAACTTTGACGATTATTAATAATTTCATTGAAAACGCAGTTATTATTGAAAGTATTTTTGTTTACAAAATCAATCGCACAAATTGCTTTAAAAGATTACATTCAAATAAAATAGACATACATAAAATTACATAGATAAAAATACATTACATACATGAAAATACATTACATACATAAAAATACATTACATACATAAAAATACATCCCTTGTATATATAAAATAAGAATATACTAATAAAATCTATAATATATTTACAAAACGTTGACAAGTTAAAAAATAAAAATTTAAAACATTTATTATTGTAAACAAATAATGTTAGTTTAAATCATTTATAGCTTTGTAGATGTGGCTGTAAGAATTAAAATAATAGTTCGTTTGATAGTATATTCTTAAAATAATTTATGCTAGAAATCTCACAAAAACGTAACAAAATTCAAATAATACAATTTTTTTGAATATTTCAACAGAATACTCAGGACATTCGGTTAGTATTTTTTGAATACTCTAGAAATTTCGGTTAGTATTTTTTGAACCAATAGAATTAGTTGTTCGTAGATTTAGGCAGGTTTTTGTGTTCGCGAATGTTCTTTTTTTATTTTTTCACACTAAGATGTTTGAGAACATTCAAGTTTTATATATTAAATAAATATAACTGCTAAATATTAAATAAATATAACTGCTCTTTCAAAGTAACCATAAAAAGTCATGAAAAACACATAGTCTTAAAACCGGAAGTTTGGGACCACAATATCATTGTTAAACAGTTTCAATAACCTCGTGAAAACCTAGGAACTGAAATGATGCTTCAAAATAACAACTCAGAAACTAAAAATCAATCTAACATCATAAATCAATCGGATGTGGAACATCAACTATACGCAGC